AAGTAGAATAATGGTGTGTGTGTTGGAGGGCAGAGCAGCAGTATTGCCAGGGTGTGTGCCTGATGCTTTCGGGCTAACGTTGCAACGGGTGATTTGGGTAAAGGCATAGAGGGCATGCAAAGCTAGGAGGGAGAGCCCGCGCCATGGGTGGCAGAGCTGGGACCTGAAGGGAGTGTGGCAGCAACCACAGCATTGGGTCAAAGCTCATAAGGGGAAATTCAGGAGGGATGAAGGTAAATTTTCATAGCAGGTGCCAAAAAATCAACTTGGCAAGCATAAGATGGGGGAACACAGGGAGAGACAGTAGCTGTTCTGCAAAGATCTGAAAACGAGTGAGCACTGTGCCCTGGCAGCCAAGAGAGGGCACACGGAGGTAATAGCCTCACTGTACTCCTTCATCAGCCCCCACCTGGAAGATTGCATTGTGAGAGAGGGGAGAAGGAGGAAGGGAGGGAGGAAGAAGGGAGGAAGGAAAGAAGGAAAGAAGGGAGGGAGGGGGAGGGAGGGGAAGGAAAGAAGGGAGAGAGGAAGGGAAGGAGGAGGGAGGGAGGGAGGAAGAAGAGAGGGAAGGAGGAAGGAAAGAAGGAAGAAAGGGAAAAAGGGAGGGAGGAAGGAAAGAAGGAAAAAAAGGGAGGAAGAGAGGGAGGAAGGAAAGAAGGAAAGAAGAGAAGGAGGAAGGGAGGAAGGAAAGAAGGGAGGGAGGAAGGAAAGAAGGAAGGAAAGGGGGAGCCAATTTGGTGGAGTAAGAGGTGAGTCTTTCTTGCCCTCCCCTATTAACCTCTGAAAGCCCAGAAGATATCACCCCAGGAAAAACCTGGAACAGCTGAACCAGAAGAAAGTTGGGGAGAAGCAGTGCAGTAGCCCAGGTAGCTTGAGGTATTAACAGGAAAGGACCCTCTTACCCTGGGGGAAGGGGAGCAGTAAGGAACAGGAGGCGCCCCAGCCAGCTAGCAGAAAGTCCCACCTCAGCATACCAGGAGGAGATCCTGAAGCCCAGAAGGTGGAGCAGGCAAACACCAACACCTGGACCCTCAGTACCTCAATGAGGGCAGGGGAACTGGTGGAAACCAGCTCAGAAAACCACCAGGTGCCTTGGCACTCTGCAGCAACCACTCTCCCACTGCCTCAGCAAAACTAAGGGAAGCAGCGCTCCAAGGCTCCCAGGTGGATAAATACCCTACAACATCCATCTGAGAGGAGCTGAAGAAAGCAAAAGGAAGGAAAGGCGAGGGTGAGCAGGAAATCTCCAGGGCGCACACTACCCAATCCTACTCCTAGAGTTCCAGTTTTGCTGTTTCCAGCCCAACACCAGGTAAGCTGCTAGAATCCTACAGCCTCCAACTGCCAACATTGGAGGCCCCAGCACACAAAGGCATCAACCAGGCCCTAGGCTCCCAACACAAGAAACTCGGGTCAGTGCCCTCTGCTCCCCAGCAGGAGAGCCCAATCTCTTTAAAGGTAAGGAAATAAGCAAACACCATGAGCAAAAAGAAACATATGATAGATTCTTATTATGGAAAGAGTGAAGAGCAAGGCAGAAATTCTGAAGAGAACAACATTGTCAACAAACCCACATCTGGAACCTCAAAAGGGAATATGAACTGGTCTGAAGCCCAAAAAGCCTTCTTAGAAGAACTCAAGAAGGATTTTAAAAATCAAATGAGAGAAGTAGAAGAAAAAATGGGAAAAGAAATGAGAGGTACGCAAGAGAGAGTCAATAGCTTGGAAAAAGAAGGACAAAAATACACTGAAGAAAACAAGTCCCTCAAAAATACAATTGGCCAAATGGGGAAGGAGATACAAAATCTAATAGAAGAAAACAATGCGTTAAAAATTAGAATTGAACAAATGGAAGCTAATGACTCTATGAGAGAGCAAGAATCAGCCAAACTAAAACAGAAGAATGAAAAAGTAGATGAAAACATAAAATACCTCATTGGTAAAACAACTAACCTGGAAAATAGATCCAGGAGAGACAATTTAAATATTATTGGTCTACCTGAAAATCATGATGAAAAAAAGAGACTGGACAGTATCTTTCAGGAAATCATAAAGGAAAACTGCCCTGAGGTCCTAGAACCAGAGGGTAAAATAGCCATAGAAAGAATCCACCAATCACCTCCTGAAAGAGATCCCAAATTGAAAACACCAAGGAATATAGTAGCCAAATTCCAAAATTACCAGATCAAAGAGAAAATACTGCAAACGGCCAGAAAGAAACAATTTAAATATCACAGTACCTTGCAGCTTCCACATTAAGAGACTGTAGTTCATGGAACATGATATTCCTTAAGGCAAAGGAGCTTGGATTGCAGCCAAGGCTCAACTACCCAGTGAAAATGAGCATGATCTTTCAGGGGAGGAGATGGATATTTAACAAAATAGGGGACTTCCAAACCTTCCTGATAAAAAGACCAGAGCTCAACAGAAAATTTGATCTTCAAATACAAGACTCAAGAGAGACATAAAAAGGAAAATGGGACAGAAAGATACAATGTGTTGTTAATAAGGGCAAACTGCTTACATCCCTACAAGGGAAGATGACACTTGTAACTCTTGAGAACTGTATTGTTATCACACCATGTTAAAGGGGTATACATAAAGGGGTGGGTATAAATTGACTTTGATGTAATGATGAAAAAAATCTAATCAAGTGGAATTAAATGGATCCAAGTAAGTGAATTAATCTGATCTAAGAAGATGTACTGAGAGAAAAGGAAAGGAGGAGGCAGACAAGGGTAAATTACATCACAGGAAAACACAAAATCCTATTACAGCAGAGGGAAAGAAGGGAGGGAGATGAGCATTGTTTGTACCTTACTCTTATCAGATTTGGCGCAAGAAGGGAATAGCATAATCAGTTAGGCATAGAAATCTTACATGCCCTACAGGCAGTAGGAGGGAAAAGGGGAAAGAAAAGGGAAGGAGTTAATAGAAGGGAGATGGGACTGAGGGAGGTAGTAGTAAAAAGCAAAACTTTAGTGAGGAGGGGAAAGGAGAGAGAAAAGCATAAACGGGGGCAGGGGAAGGAAATGGAGAGAAAGACACAGATAGTAATCATAATTGTGAATGTGATATATGAATGTAATGGAATACTATTGTGCTATAAGAAACGATGAGCAACAGACTTCAGATAAACCTGGAAAGACTTGTATGGTCTGATGCTGAGTGAAGTGAGCAGACCCTGGAGAATGTTGTGCACAGTAACAGCCATGTTGTGCGATGACTAACATTGATGGACTTAATCCTTCTCAGCAATACATCTTCAAAAGCCTCGTGATGGAAAATGCTATCCACATCCAAAGAAAAAACTATGGAGTTTGAATGCATATCAAAGCAGACTCTTTGCTACTTTTTTCCTCTATCGTGTTTTGTTCCTCCTATTAGTTCTAATTCTTACTTACATGACTAATGTGAAAATGTTTAATAGGAATGGATAGATAGATAGATAGATAGATAGATAGATAGATAGATAGATAGATAGCCTATATTACATTGTGTGCCATCTTGGGGAGGGAGGGAGGAAGGGAGGTGGAGAAAAATGTAAAACTCAAAAGCTTATGGAAGTGATTGTTGATAAATTAAAATAAATTAATAAAAAAAACTTTTAAAAGGAAGGAAAGAAGGGATGGAGGAAGGGAGGAGGGAGGGAGGGAAGAAGGAAAGAGAGGGAGGGAGGGAGGAAGGAAAAAAGGGAGGGAGAGAGGGAGGGAGGAAGAAAGGAAAGAAGAGAGGGAGTAAGGGAAGGAGGAGGGAGGGAGGAAGCATTTCTTATGTGTCCACATACCAGACACTGCTAAGCATTTTCCATCTCTCCTTTGACCCTCACAACCGCCTTAGGAGGGAGGTGCTACTATAATCCCTATTTTATAGTTGAGGGTGGACTGGATCATCCAGGGTCACAGCCAAGAGATGCTGCATCAGAACTCAGGTCTTCCTGACATGAGGTGATCCAGGATTAGTGGGTGGAATTTGCCAAGATACAAATGTTGGTACAACCATTGGCATGGATTTCCTCCCAGTAAGCTGTCCCAGCATGGAAGGGCCTCCAGAGCTGGTGGGAGCCGCCTTCCTGGAAGTCTCTGAATGGAGGTTGCTGTGAGGCGGGGCTGCTGGAGGCCTTTCCACCATCAGGTTCTGTGACAACCCAGGCCTTCCCCATGCCCTGAAGCATCTCCTATCCCTCGTGGGCGACTTGCCCTGCAGCGCCTCACTCTGTGGGACCGGACTCCCTTCACCTGTACGCCCCCCAGCTGGGGTGTGGGTCAGATAGGGTCTCACCCTTTGAAGGCCTAGAAGCCAGCGCTGTGCTGTCCCCCTCACGTCCTCCCTGGGAATGAGGATCAACCTCAGAAGCCTCCATCCTTCAAAGGCAACATCCGCAGGGCTGATGCCGGGCAACACCCGGGCAGCTCCTTTTAGCTGCCCGTCCAGGCTCCAGCAGAGGCCCGGGTTGGGTCTCATGGCCAGTGTCCCACACAGGGCCAGCTGTCTACACCCTCTGTTTAACCTACAGAATGCACACCTTTCCAGCCCCACCTTGCCCTCCATTCCTTTTGTGAAAGGCATAAGCAGAGCCCTAACGCAGGTCTCAGTGACAACAGAGGTCAAATGTCCCCCAGCTCACTCCCCCATCCTGTGTCTGTGCAGAATCTCAGCCCCTCTGCACCAGCTGTCCTGGGGCTCACAGCCCTCCCTCCCTAGCTGAGGCTCGTGACTCACCCAAGGTCATGCAGCAAGCTTCTGGGGGCAGGTCAAGGATTGCAGAACCCCCCACCCCCTTTCCCTTCTTCTCTCCCAGCCTCTCAGGCCTCAGTCACTGGGACAGACAGGAGGGTGCTGAAAGATGACAACGTGTCCAACTTCAAACACCTCCGCCACATGAGTCACCTCCCAGGGGTGATTTCTATCACCTCTCCTTCCTGCCTGAGTTTAGATGCCTTTCCCTCCTCATTCTCTCTTTCCCTCTCTGGCCCCACACAAACACACTGACACAGGGAAAAGGTCCCCCCAAAACTAGTATTTTTATTTCAACCATGTGCAATTACAGGAGTGAGAGAGATGCAGAGGGCTGGGGGAAGGGCTGGAGGTCCCAGCCTCACATCCAGAGCTGCCCCCTCCCCCCATCCCCAGGGCCTTGGGGCCCACCTGCTGCCCCAAGGCCCCAGACAGCATTTCAGCTCCCTCCCTGGAGTGGTTCAGAGTAGATTCTCAGGCAGGATGTGACCTCCTGATCTGGAGCCAGGGCTCTGGGCCCCCCAGTCCTCCCTGTGCTCAGGCCTGGGAGGCAGGGGACCATAGCAGACACCAGCTGATAAGGTTGTCCTCATACAAGGGGGCATGTGAGGCAAAGTGTGGCCCGAGGCCCTGCAGCCTGGAGGCCGGGGGGAGGCTTCTCCTCTCCCAGGGGCTAACCCAAGCCCCCCACTTCCTCTGCTTCCAACCTCTCTCCCCAAAAGCCTGAAGACACAGGCAGAAAGCTCTCAGCAGCAGCTCTGGTCCTTGTCTGTCTAGGAGTGTGTGGGGGTTGGGGGGCTGTGGGTGCAGAGTAGTGGGGGAGGGGGCAGTGGGACTCCAGGGGCCCTGGAAGTGGTGGATGGGCATCATGAGGGCTGGAGGGGACAGTGGCTTGTCTGGACCATATGCTCTCTACATTCTTCTGATAGAAAGCCCCCCACCCCAGTGGACAGGTGAGGTGGAGCATGAGCCAGGATGCTGGGCGATCAGCGGGACTTGGCGAAGCCCACGCGGTTGTTGTCCCGGTCAAAGACGGCGTAGTACTGGCCGATGAAGACATCGCCCAGGATCCAGAGGGGGCCCCCCGGCGGGGGGGATGTCCATGCCCATGAAGCCGCTCAGGCAGAGGGTTCGGCCAGCCTGGCTCACCTAGGGAGAAGGTCACGGGCCCATCAGCAGGGGGCCCCAGGCCGGCCAGACCCTCCAATCATCCTGGCTCCAGCTGGCTCTGGCTAGAGTTCCTGGTTAGACTGTAAGCTTCCCGAGGGCAGGGCCAGTCTTTCGTCTCTGTCCGAATCCCCAGCCTGGTCTCTGCCAAGGCCCCAGACACCAGCGGACGCCACCTTTGGCCTGCCGCCAGAACTTCCTTCCTCCCCCGGCCAGGAGGATGTCTGAGCTGGAGAGAGCCCTGGGGACCCCAATCCAGCCCTCTCCTTGGGGCCCTCTCCCTTCCCCTCTCCACTATGAGGCTTACAAGCCTCTCTCCTGCCAGCCAACCTTTCTGAAGAGCCAAGCCATCCCCTTAGCTTTTATTAAGCACCTACTGTGTGCTGTGCTGGCCCCCCACAAGAATGAGACAAAGCAGTTCACCGGCTTCAGCTCCCCCCACCCCCAACACGGCCACTGACCTTGAGGACGTATTGTTCTCCTGTGAGCTCAAAAGCCTTGTTCCCCAGCACAAAGGAGACAGATGGGAGGCTGGTCACCTTGTCACAGGGGAACATGTACTGTTGGGACAGAGTGGAGGCGGTCACGAGGCAGAACCCTCTTTTCTCAGGGTCCACCAACCCAGCTGCCCTCTGGGCCTCCAGGTTGCCCGTCCCTCCCCACCCCAGCTCGGCCGCCCTCTGGGCCGCCTGCCCTCTCACCTCCCCTTGGATCAGGGGCATGGCCCCCAGGGCTTTGTGCAGGCCTTTGATCTCTTCCACGGGGCCAGTGATGAGAGAGGTCCCCGAGTCCACAATGGCCTCACAGCCATCCTTGCACAGGGTCAGGTCGCTTTTCACCTTCACCCTGCAGAAAAGAGACATGCCTGGGCCCTCCTCTGCTCTGGAAGCACTGCAGGCTCTCTCCCCCCATGCCAACCTTGCTCCCAGGCTTCAGCAGGAACGGAATAACAGTGGGGAGGAGAGGAGCATCCCCGGCCCAGCCCACCGCGGGAGTGGCTCGGGAGGCATTGTGGGGGTGAGGGGCTCCCTCCCCGCCTTGCTGCCCCCGGCCCAGCACTCACGCGTCCATGTGCACTTGCCAATAGGCCTGTCGCGTGACGTTGAGGTACGTGAACTCCCCCTGATAATACCTGCTGTCGGTGCCCCCGAACATCAGCTCCCCCCCGGGCTGGGCAGCGGGGTCCCTGCACAAGGAACAGCAAGGAGCAGGCTTCAGACAGCAAGCATCCATTAGGACGGCCCACCCGTGTGGGTCTCTGGGATGCACGCTGGCAGGCAGGAGTCGCTGCCTGAGGCTCCCCGGGGCAGAGCTGGAAAGCCACTCTGTGCCTGTTGCGGGGGGAGGCCAGCTCCTAGCCCCACTCCACAGGGGCTGCCCCATGTCAACAGGCCCCCACACAGTCTCCAGACCACGCCTGTCCAACCACCCTCGACGATTGTTTCAGGTTGCCCAAAATCCTTTCATGTGCCCACGGGCAGCAGACAGAACAGGCCTGTTCCAGACTAACCCCAGCTCTAATTCAAAGATCTCACTTCCACAGATTCCAGCCGGTGGGAGGTGGGCCCCAGAGAGCCCCCTACAGGGCCTCCAACCAAGCAGAAAGGGGCCCAAAGCCCCCCACTTCTGAGCAGCCCAAAATGGGAAACTTTGGGTCGTGTGAGGAAAGGCCAAGAGGCCCTGGGATGTAAGTGAGGAGCAACGTGAAGACAGTACAGGGAGGAGCCGCCATCAGCCCATGGAAGAGAGTAGCAGACACACAATCACAGAACAGCAGGAAGGGCCATGGTGACAAAACAGCCCCCCCTCCCCTTCTGTCCTGGGGGAGGAAAAAGGCATGGAGAACACGGCAGCTGCGGCCTCTCCCCTCAGGTGCCCCTGAGACGGCAGGGCCCATCTCTTCACTACCCGAAGGAATTAGGGCAATGTAAGAGAGGAGGATTAATGGCAAGACTTCCCAATGACTTACAGTGTCATCCAGATGGGAGCCCAAGTATTAATTCCCTAAGGGGGGAAGAGATAGAGCAAGAGAGACAGGGGGAAAGAGAGAGGAGAGATGGGGGAGCTGGGAGGGAATGCTGAGCTAGGAAAGCAGGCAGGATTCGGGGAACCATGCTCACCCAGACGCCAACCACAGGAGGAAGGCCAAGGGGAAGGAGGGAGAGAGAGAGAGAGGGAGGGGGAGGAGGGTAGAGAGGGAGAGGGGGAGAAGGGGGAGGAGGAAGGAGAGAGGGGGAAGGGGGGAGAGGAAGGGGGAGAGGGAAGAAGGAGGGGGAAGGAGAGAGGAGGGGGGAGAGGGAGGAAGGAGGGAGGGGGAGGGGGAGGAGGAAGGACGGAGGGGGAGAGGAAGAGCGGGAGAGGGAAAGAAAGACAGACAGAGAGGGAACGCCCCGCGCTGTGGCTGCGGAAGCAGGCAGGGCCCAGGTGCTGCCCATGGAAGAAAGGCCAAGTGGCCAGAAGCAGCCAGTGCCTTGGCCAGGATGGTCCAAGCTGTTGCTGGCACATCTGGAGGGAGGGAGCTGGTGTTTCCAGGTAAAATAAAGCATTTCTTTAATGCCAGGTCTCAGGCCGCCAGAAGAACCTCATCCGCCACCCTGGGAGGACACCCCCATTTTACAGATAGAGAAACAGGCATATGAGGGTCCCAATTCACCCGGAGGTGAGGAGCCAGGACCCCCGGAAGCCAGGTCTCCAGCGGTCAGCTCCAGAGTTCCAGCCACAAGGCCAGGCTGCCAAGGACAGTAGGCATCTGCTTCAGGTGAAGGCAGACAACAGGATGCCCAGATGTGCCCCTCCCCATTCCGCTGCGACGTCTGGGAGCTCCCCGCAGCCTCAGCCCTGAGACCGCTGACCCAGGAGTCGGGAACACTGGTGTCCCCAGGGATAGACAAGCCTTCCACAGGCCTCCAGGAGCTCAGAGCTCAGACACCAGGGTCCCACAGGCCACCTGGACAGCCAGTGTCAGTGCAGGCCAGAGCAAAGAGAGAGCTTCTGAAGCAGGAGGGCTGGCCCTAAGGGGAGGGGCTAGGATGGATGAAGGGATGAGGTGGGGGGCACAGCCCACAAGGCCTCCCCACCCCTTCCCCCATCCTTCCCCCTTCTGCAAAGAGCTAATTCAATGACCAAGGAGGAAGGAGGAAAGGAAGCCCTGGGAGGACCCCCTCCAGCATGAGCCTTGATGGGCCAGGGAATGAAGAGGGGGCAGCGAGCAGGAGGACAGGTAGGCATGGGGAGAGAGGGGCCAGAGATGACGGCCTAGCCATGCCCGGCCTCTGGAGGGAGTCAGGAGAGAGGCCAGGGTGGTGGGGCAGCCGAGGCCCCCCACTGGAGGCGTCCCCTGGCTCTAGTCGTGACACTGACCCAGGCCAGACTGCCCGGCACAGGGTCTGCCCCTCACCTGTTCAGGTAGAAGGAAAACACATTCTTCTCCACCAGCTTCTGATTCATGAGGTTGTCAAAGACTGGCACGACAGCGTCCACAGAGATGCGGGGGAAAGCCATGCCCAGAATGCCATCAAACTTGGCAGCGATGAAGGTGATACCGGGCTGCTTGGTGGCTTCCCCAAAGGTCTGCTTCTTCACCTTCAGACTGCTGCTTTCCAAGCCTTCCCCATCCATGGAATAGGGGAGCTGTGGGGCAGAGGAACATGGACAGCCAAGTTCTCCCACCTGGGCCTCAGTCTCCTCGTCAGCAAATGGGTACCATCAGCCCCTCCCTGACTCTGCCCAGACAAAGAACGTTGCCAAGTCGGACAAGGGCCTGGCCACCCCACTGTGCCAGGGTGGACGGGGGAGCAGGTCTGCCCAGCTCCCCAGCAACAGAGAGCTGGGCCTCTGCTTGACCACCCAGGGTGACCTTGGGCAAGGAAGCGAATTCTCTCTTCTGACTCAATGCCCTGAGCTGCTGGTCACCGAGCCAGAGCCGAGAGGCATCAGCAGGGGCTGTGGTACCTTGAGCATCAGCCTCCTCATCTGTAAAGTGGGGAGAATGAGCCCTCCTCCAGTGCCTCCCTCTAAGAGCTGGGAGGAAAAGGGGGTGGGGGAGCCCCCAAAAGGGTCAGAGGCAGAAACCTGAGCCCCAAGACACAGGGAGCCAAGGGGCCAGTGTGGGATAAGACATGGAGAGAAGCATTTCCTGCATGTATGGGCCGGGGGCCAAGGCCCTCCATCAGGAGGAAGATGCATTCTGCCAGCCATGGCCTCCGACACCTGACATGTGGCTTACAGGAGCACCTCCTTCTACATATGGAGAAACTGAGGACAAGGTGGGGGGTCAAAGCCAGGTCACAGGCCCCAAATCCAGCCGGGGCCAAACTCCCGTCCAGCACTGACCCCTTCACAAGTCTCCATCCCAGGGTCAATGAAGGCTCATCCCTCCCTCTCTAACCTCAGCCCACCTGGGTGACTCCCTGGGAGCCTACTGATCCCTTCTCCTGAGACCAGAACAGCTGTGTTCCCTCCCACCCTGTGGGTGTGAGAACAGAAGGCAGCCAGTATCTTCCTCCTCATCCTCTGAGCCAGTCCCAGGCAAAGGAGTGATTACCACCTGACTGACCGGGCACATTCAAAGAGCTGGCTCAGTGGAAGTCCACAGATGGAGACGGCCGGGGGTCAGGCTGCCTCTCCCCTTCCCTAGTCCCTGACACAATCCAACCGGGGCAAAAGGGGAAACCAAGCCTCATGAGGCTGGGCCACCTGCTCTTCCGGCCCTCGTGGGGGCACAGGACAAACCCTCATTTTACAGGGGAGAAACAGAGGCCCAGACGCCCAGTGGGCTAGAAGGGACGGCAGCCCCAGAACCGAGATCGCCAAGGGTCACCTCTCAGACGACCCTGCCCCCGAGGCGGGTAGCTTTCCCCTAAGATCACGGTGCTTTCACCATCCCCTACCCCCAGTCTTCTCTGCTCCAAAGGTCCTTCCTGGGCCCCTGGAGAGAGTCTAACAGGGCCCCTCAATGTGCCTCCCCCACTGGGAGCTGGGCCAAGCCCCCTGTCCCCCAGGCCTAAGGCACAGCATCGACCCCTCCTCCCTCTCTGGCCCTGGGGCCTCACCCCCACCTGCCCCAGACTTACCGTGACCGTGTCCTCACTCAGGTAGCCTGAGAGACTACCTGAGCCGTAGCGGATGGCAAAGTCCGTCCCGTTCTTCACATAAGTGCTAGATTGTTTACCGTTGTATTTGCGGTGAACCCCTGCAGAGCAGGGGACAGAGAAGCCTTACTTTCTTACTAACGCCTCCTCCCCCTCCCATCCACAGGTGACCTCATGCCCTCAGCTGGGACAAAGCCCACCGACCAACCCCTCTCCTGTTGAGGGGGGCTGGAACAGATGAAGCCCGCTCCCCTTTGCCTCCTGGGGCTGGCGGTCTCCACACTGACTGCCCCAGGAGGAGGCCCGGAAGCTACCTCCCCGACAGACCACCTGGCACACGGCCGTGGGTCCAGGTAAGAGGTGAGGCCTGGGGAGTCAGGAACAAGTTCACCGGGAACCCTGCTCTCCCCCAGGGCAGGGAGTCCTCCCCCAAGAACAGGCCTAGTCAGGGCCAGGGAGGGCGGGCCCGGAAGTCAACCTCCTCCAGCTGGAGGCCAGAGAGGCCACCCCCAGTCCCCCAGTCCTGCCAGAGGAGAGGCAGGGCCAGGCAGAGCTGGAGGGAGACGGCATCCTGCCCAGGAGGCCAGGCTAGGCCAAAGGCCCAGGTCCCTCTCCTCGGCTTTGCAGCCAGGGCCAAGCCTGGCCTCCTAACTGCCCTGTCCCAAGCCCGGGGCAGCACCTGTGACCTGGATGCCCCTGGGAGGGGGGGGTTCCACTGTGCAGGGCCAGGGCCACAGCAGCAGACTGGCAGCTCCCGAGGGCAGGGCCTGGGGCGGCTCCTCTTCACTCTTCCTAGACCCCAACTAGCCTCGAGGGTTCTCTGGATAAACATTCTCTCTGGGGGCTGGCCCTCAGAACCAGCCGGGCCTGGGCAGGGATGGGGAGCTAAGCGTCAGGTGTGGGTACTCACAGCAGGCAAGGTCCCACAGGCTGCAGCGGATGGACGGCACCCACAGATTGGCAGAACCCGTGTCAAAGAGGACCATGAACTGCTGGGGTGGGGTTCCAATGCCGATAGCTCCGTAGTACTGAGCCTGAAGGTCGGGGGAGGGGAGAACCGAATCAGAGCCTCGGGGAGAACCAGAGGCTCCCCCAGACTTCCTGGGGGGGCAGGGGAGAAGGAAGCATGTCCTGGGGTCTGACAGAAGGAGAAGCTGGAGCTAAAGCAGCAAGGTCTCCTGAGAGGGAGGAAAGAGGGGGGGAAGGGGGGAGGGAAAAGAGGGGAAGGAGGGAGGGGGAGGGAAAAGGGGGAAGGAGGGAAGGGGGAGGGAAAAGGGGGAAGGAAGGAGGGGAAGGGAAAGGGGAAGGGGGAGGAAAGAGGGAAGGAGGGAAGGAGGGGGAAAAGGGGGGTAGGGGAGGGGGTGGGAAAAGGGGGGAAGGGAGAGGGAAAAGGGGGAAAGGGGGAGGGAGGAGAGGGGGGAAGAAAGGAGAGAGGAAGAGAGGGAGGAAAAGAGAAAGGGAGGGAAGGGGGAAAGAGGGAAGGAGCAGAGGAGGGAGGCATGACCCTCATCAAAGAAGGAAGTGGTGATAATGACCCCAATACACAGATGGGAATGTTAAGACCGCAGGGTGAAGTGAAAGCATCACAGATTCAGAGCTGGCATTGCCCCTGGAGTGCAATCCTTTAATTTACAGATGAGGAGCCAAGGCCCAGAGGTGAGGGGACTTGTACAGGGCCACATAGTTCATGAGAGTCCAAGGCAGGTGTCCGCCCTTCAAGCCCAGCACTCTACCCACTGCACCACCAAGCGGCCTCTAAGTCCCATACTGGACAACACGACCTCCAACCCTCCTGCCTCTAGGGCTTCAGGTCTAGGCACCCAGACAAGGCAAGAGGAGGGCACAGTGGGAAAGGAGAGAGCCCCAAGCCAGAGACCTCCACTGCCCTTGGGCACCTCACTTGCCCCTTTGGGACTCAGTTTCCCCATCTGTCAAGCCCAGTGAGTCAGCTAGTGGGGAAGGAGGTTGGCTGGCTGCGCGCAAAGGGCTGCCCGTGCTGTCCAGTCCAGCTGAAGGAGGCCCCTCTGGGCCAAGAGGCAATGGGCAGCCCCCCAGGATGGACGTCCTCCTGGCCGCAGCCTGGTGGCTGAGTCATGGAGCACGTGGAGGGGATGGGGGATGACACCCAGGCACCTCAGCAGCTGATCTAAGCACGTGCCTGCACGACCCACGAGGGCCAAGGGGGGGCCCTCCCCCCTTTCCCCCTGAGGCCCCTGTGCTGTGCTACCGACTCTCCTGGGGCACTGCCACTGGTCTTCTGCAGGCAGCTGGGCGGCCCGGGGGCGCCTGGTCAGGAAGACCCTGGGGAGTCACTGAAACGCTGCCTGCCTCAGCCTCCTCCCAAGTCAAACGAGTAACAGCAGCCGCCTCCCAGGGCTGTTGTGGGGATCCCGCTCACTAGCGGCTGGGAGCCCAGCCTCCGCTTCCCCCCTGCCCACCCCAGGGGAGGACAGCTGGGGAGGTCACAGTCTCTACTCACATCCATGTAATTTTTGAGGATCTCTGGGATGGGGCCTCCAGTGATGGGAAGGCTCCCCAGCGCATACTTCGAGAGGGGTGCACTGGCCAGCTCCACAGGGCCGCCTGCCTCCCTCAAGGTCTGGCGGATGGACTTGAATTTGTGCAGGGGGATTCTTGGGGAAAAGGGAGGGAGGCCTGGTTAGACCAAGTCCTAGGCCCCTTCCCTGCACGCTCCCCCAGGGCCCAGCCACGGCCCCACCCCTAACAGTGAACTTGGGCAACATGACCTTGGCAGCCTGGAAGGAGGCTGCCTTCCCCACTGGCCACTCCCTGGGGCTCCGAGAAGGAAGGGGAATCAGGCCCCAAGGCCACTGCCCCACCATCAGGCTGCATTCCTGGGATGCAGAGCACCCCTCAGGGTCACCAGGCTGGGACTCGGGCCAAGGAAGTCCCCGCACTCCCACCCTGGCCTTTTCCAGACAGCAGCTCAGACCAGAAGTCTGGAAGTGGTTCCCAAGCCCTGGCCTCCCCACCTGCTCAGGCCCCTGCCCTGGGACGAGGATGCCCAGCCCACCTGCCCCAGGAACAGGTAGGTGGAAGAGCCTTCTCACTGGGGCCATGGGGGGTGAGGAGCCTTAGCTAGGGCAAGCCCCTCCTCCCACCCACAGGACAAAGAGGGGCAGCTGCTCAGAGTGGGACGACTGAGGCTCAAAAAGCAGGCGAGGCTGGTCTCCCAGGCCTCAGGCCTCAGTTTCCCCACAGGAAGCCCACTTCCAGCTCTGGCGCTCCATGGCCTTGGGCAGCCTTCCCAAGGCACCCTGTGTGCAGGGCCTCCCTGAGAGCAGTCCAGGAGGTGGGCAGGGCCAGCTTCTCCCCATTTTATAAGGGAAGAGGAGGAGGCTCTGTACCAGGCAGGGGTAAGCCTGAGGTCACCCAACGGATCACAACAGAGCCTGGGAGGCCACAAAGGCTGGCTGCCTCCTTCCACAGAGGGAGCAAATGACGGGCTGAGTCAAGTAGGGAGTGGGGGGGCCCAACCTGCTCCTAGGGAACGAGCATTTATTAGGTACCCACGGGTGCTGGGCACTTAGCGCTTTACAGAAACCCTTGGACGGGCCTCAGAGAGAAAGGGAGGCCACAAGGGCTGCCTGCCAGCAAGGGCGGGCACATGATCTGTGCCAGGGTTGCCCAGATAATTGTCTGGGGTGGGAACTGGCCTGCCCTGCCCCGCCCAGGCTAGCCCCGGCTCACACTCCATGGGACAGAGAAGGAAACTGAGGCCCAAAGAGAGAAGGGAGGAACTGGGCTAAAGTGTCCCAAGGCCCCCCCCCAGCTGGGCCACCTCTCCCACCCCAGCAGGGGCTCAACTGGCCCCCTGCACTCTGCAGAGTGGGGGGGCTATAAATGACTTCTGTGGGCCCCCCCTTTCTGGTGAACCCTCCCCTCTATCAGAGGCCTGGGGATGAAGGAGGGGCCTGCAGCAGGAGGCGGGGGAGTCCAGAGCTGACCCTCCTTAGTCTCCAAGCCTGGGTCTGGGTCCGAGGGGGCGCACAGAACAGCCCCTGCCCAGCCCCTGGGTCGGAGGGGGCACGCAGAGCTGTCCCTCCCTAGTCTCTAAGCCCTGTCCGAGTGGCGCTCACCTGATGAGGGCGCTGGCGGGCGCCAGGAGGGCGCACAGCAGAAGGGCACGCAGGAGGCACAGCCTGGAGGGCTGCATGGCTGCGGCGGCGGGGCTGGGGGCGCGGGGGCTGCTGCAGCTGGGACCGCGGCTGGCCGGCGATGACGGAGCAGTCCCGGACTCAGCTTCTGGGTCAGCGGATGCCCGGATAGGTTTCGGCAGTCACGTGCCCGCCGAGCCAACCTTAACCCGAGCGCGCCGGGCGGGGCTAGCGGAAAGGGCAGGTCCGGAGGCGGGGCCAGAGACAGACACACATATACACACACACACATATATATATATATATATATATATATATATATATATATATATATATATATATATATATACACTCACGCACGCACGCGCACACGCAGGTGCAGCGAGGGTTGCACACGGGCCCCGCTTCCATGTATGCACGTACACGGACCCGTGCACACTAGCACACCCATGCAGGAAAGACTCCCCGACCCCACAGGAAGCCGCGCTGGGCACCTACCCCACATCCGGGGTTCTGAGTCCCCCCACTCCCCCATCCCCCTGCCGTCCTCCCTCCCTGAGGGAGGGGCCGTAGTAGGTGTTTAACCCTGGGTCTGGAGGGACAGGAGGCTGCAGCTTCCCTTTGGGGGTTCACGGGGGGAGCCAGGGAGAGGGCTCCTGGGGGCCGCCGGGTCAGTTACGGGGTCACCCTGCCCTTGGCTCGGGGAGCCTTCTTCCTGGTCGTGTGCCCCAGGCAGCTCGGGGATCTGCTCCCACACTCTGCCCCCTCAGGCAGCTCGGGGATCCGCCCTAATACTACCCCCCCCACACACACTGTGGTGGGTTTCTGCAAACCCACAGCATCGGAGGAGGCTGGGGTGGGGCAGGGCCAGAAGTGACATTCTGGGCCGGCTGAGTCATCCCCTCAGCACAGTAATTGACACAGGGAACAATTGAAATTGGGCAGATATTTTATAGCCATTATTATCTCATCCACTGGAGCCTTGCGGCCAGCCAGGAAGCTGGGCCTGAGAATTCCACAGGTCTTGTGATTCCTGGTTTATGGCTGAGGACACTGGGGCTCATAAAGTTCCAAGCCCAGGTCAACTCCAGTGCTGTCCGAGGTGGATAGGGCATCAGGAACGGCCCAGCCATCAAACGAGATCCCTTTTGTAAAGCCTGACATACAGTAGGCGCTCCATAAAGGTTGGCCGGCCTCATTATTCCCCAGCCTTTTTGGAGGATCTGCTTCATGCCAGGCACTGACCTACCTCCAGGAGCCCACAGACTACTGCATATAGGGAGATGCTGAAGAGATGAACAATCATTTGTCTGGGTTAGTTTTCAGATAAGAAGCTAAGGGCCAGAAAAGTGACGGGATTGGCCAGGGCAATGGCCAAGCCCCTGGATCCACTCTACTGACCCTAGCCCTGGGCCTTTGGGAAAGAGTCTGCCTGGATCGAGTCAGGGGATGGGATTGAAAGCCAGGTTCTGCAGGCAGATCTTAGAAAAACCTGGAAACCTGGAAAGACTTACATGAACTGATGGAAAGTGAAGTGAGCAGAACCAGGAGACCATAGTACCTGGTAACAGCAACATTGTTACAGTGATAGACTGGGAATGACTTAGCTCTTCTCAGTGATACAATGATCTAAGACAACTCCAAAAGACATGCTGGAAAATGCTGTCCACATCCAGAGAAAGAACTATGGAGTCTGAATGCAGATAGAGGATGAGTGTTTTCTCTCTTTTTTCTTTCTCATGGTTTTTCCCTTTTGTTCTGATTCTTCTTGCACGACATGACTAATGTGAAAATATGTTTAACATGATTGTACATGTAGAGCCTACATCAGATAGCATGACTTCTTGGGGAGGGCAGCGGGGAGGGAGGGAGGAAAAAAAATTGAAATTCAAAATCTTATAAAAGTGAGTGTTGAAAACTATCTTTATGTGTAATTGGAAAAAAAGAAAATACTCTTTACCAAAAAAAGAAAAGAAAGCAAGCCAGGTTCTGCTTATAAAGGGGCTTTCCTGGGCCTGTTTCCTCCTTTGAAAAAGAAGGGCTTTGGATGAGATCTTTGCTCACCGACTTTATGGTCTCCAGACCCTTTATCCTCTTTAAGATTAGAATAAGTTAGGCAGTTGTCAAGAACCCCAGAGCTCTTGTTTATGTGGCTTCTAGCTCTGGGTGGCTGGCATGTTAGGAATTTGAACTGATGCATTTAAAAAGTATTTGTTTATTCTTTTAAAAATAACAATAATAAACCAATACATTTAAAAATATTTATGTATTGATTCTTTAAAAACAATAACAATAAAACATTTAAAATAGTTATTCTTTTTAAAATAACAAGGAACTGATATGTTTTAAAATATTTATTTCAAAATAATGAGTTGATGTATTTTAAAGATATTTATTAATTCTTTTCAAAATAATGAGCTGATACATTTTAAAATATTCATTTCAAAATAATGAGCTGATATATCTAAAGATATTTATTAATTCTTTTTCAAATAATAATAAGCTGATATATTTTAAGATATTTATTAATTCTTTAAAATATACATAAAGAACAGATAGATACATTTAAAAATAACAAACCAATACACTTTATTTTATTTTTTTGGTGAGGTAATTAGGGTTAAATGACTTGTCCAGCATCACACAGTTAGTGTTAAGTGTCCAAGGTCAGATTTGAACTCAGGTCCTCCTGACTCCAAAGCCAGAGCTCTATCCACTGAGCCACCTAGCTGCCCCTATCAATACTTTAAAGACATTTATTAATTCTTCTTGAAATAACAATAATAAACATATTTCAAAATTCTTCTTTAGTAATTATAGTGAATTCTTTCTTAGAAGTTCTTTAAAAAGAATAATCAACCCATTTCATGCTAATGTTGCTAATGGAATATACTTTTATGAAAAATGCCCCCAGAGTGCAGTGGGCCTCCCCTGAGTTTGGGTCTCTTTGCCATGATGTTTGGGTCTTGCTCAGTAGGAGATGGCTGGGGGCCCGTGGCTCTGCTGCATTCTGTCTAGGCTGTTGGGATGGGTCGTTCTAGATGGAGTCACGGATGCCCATGGGCTTCCTACAGATGTGTGGTGGGAAGAGGAAGGAGCATTTTAAGAGGCAAATAGGGCCATGGTATTATTATAGAAAGAGTGAGCTGGAGGAGCCCCTGAGAGGGTCTCTAGGACCACGCTCTCTGAGAGCCATCAGCCTAGATGGTCTCTGGGGTTCCTTCCAGCCCAGAGGCTCTGATTACCTTTCTGATGCCTCCCAGCTAGCAGGCGCTGTGCCAGGGGGAGACACGACAGAACGTCCTTGCCCTCCTGGACCTTAACAGTCTGCCCCAATCAGGGATATGGGCACAGTGCTGTGTCCATCTGAACAGACAAGTACAAATCTGACCAGTGGCTTCCTTCCGATCAGCCCTAGGAGGCAGCTAAGTGCAAGGGGGTGAGGCCCATTCTACAGATGAGGAAACTGAGGCTGAAGAGACTGGCCCAGGGTCAGGCAGCTAACAAGTGATGGTACCAGGACACCACCTTTGTCTGAGTCACTTGACTCCAAGGGAAGACTGAACGTTTTCCAGGGTAGCAGGGCACCGAGCTGAGCCAAACCGCAGAGGACTTCCTGGATGCCACTGATTTCAGGTGGCTTGGCAGCTACATATAGAGGTCTCCCCCACCCCAACTTAGGACATGGCAGAGTAGGGAGGAGCAGGAGAAATACCTTTAAGGGCACCTTGGAGCAGTTTCAGACAAAATCCCACAGAAGCCACTGCCTGGCCAGGGAGTGACAGGGGCAGATGGATAAGCCTGGCACAGGTGACCATCAAAAGGGGAGAGGTGGGGAGAGGGGCCAGATTACACAGCACAAAGTCCTGCAGCTCTCTGTGGGCTCTGGGCATAAGCTGGTCCTCGCTGGAAAGGCCCAGGGTGAGGAGAAGCCTGCCCAGGAAGGGGCAGCAGGGGCAGGAGTCTGATCCAAGCCCCCCTTGCCACGCCTGGCTCTGTGGGACACAATGACCTCCCTCTAGTGAAACGGGCACCAGCCTGGCCCAGGATGCAGGCTGGGGTGGCCAAAAGACTTGCTGGGTGGTATGCCCAAAGAGCTCCCTTTCTGCCCAGTGCTTCCTACAGCCTCTAGCCTCCCTTCCCAATCCCCCTCCAGCCCGGGCTCATGTGAGCTCCCTGAAGGCAGGGCCAGGCCTCGATTTGAACCAGGGGTCCCCTTCCCACAGCCAGCCCTGACATCTTCTAGACACTTACTACTTGCTTGGTGAATTCAGCCCCATTTACCCCCCAAAGGGGAAGATACCTGGAGAATGCAAAGGCCATTTCTCCGAATCTAACTTCCCTTTTTTCCTAAAGGGAAGAAAACCAGAGGAAGATAATACTTGTGAAACTGAAGAAGGTTTTTCTTATGCAGGAAAGAAAAAAAACAAAAGTGTGCGCAGGAACTGTCCAGCCTGTGCTGAATAGACCACCAAGTAATGGATGGGAGAGTTTATCTACCGTTTAAACCAGGGAAGCTAAGGAATTTTGGGGGAAAGGTGAGTTAGTGAGTCAGTGAGCCCCATCCCCAAGTGGCGGTAGTGGAGAATTCCACGTGTCCAAGTTCTGGCCCTTTGTACACCAAGCGGAAGGCATTCCTGGTGATAAGCAATGCAGACTTCAAGGCTCGAGCACAGACAATGAGATCAGGAGATCTCTCCCAAAGCACATGTTCCCAGAGCCCCATAACCAAAGCTAGGGGAGTCTCTGGAGATAAGGATCAGCAAACAGGCCTGTACCCAACAGTCAGGAAAGTCTTTAAAGATAAGATGTCTCTTGAAGGTCCATAAACCACCAAGTGGTTTGAGGCCCAGCTTCCAGCTGGGTTTACTCTTGGCCACTGCAAAGGCCTGCTGGCGTGTTAAGCCACTCTGTGTCCTAGTTAGTACAACCAGGCCTCATTCAGTTCTTGTCGGTGACCTGGATAATCGGGGAGCTCAGGCAAGTCAAGGTAATTAGTGCACTCATTTGCAGATGCTCTCGTCTCTCGTAGACCACCAAGGTGCTCCCGAGCAGCTGACCCTTAGGCCTTTGGCGCTGGAAGGCAAGCTAGCTGTGGGGCTTTGGCCAAGTCCGCTTCCCTCTTTGGGTCTTAGTGTGCTCATCTACAAAATGATGGGGCAGCGTTGGGCCCGGAGTCAGGAAGGCCTGAATTCAA